AACACTGGAAGCACACTATTATTTAAACATATTGTGTCCTGCAGCATTAAGACTTCCCATAAGAGGGGCAGTGCACAGATTTTATCTACCATGATCATGGCCTGTGGCAAATGTTTTTGTGGCTATGGAGGATCTTTCATCCCTTGAATTCTACATATTTATGCATGCATTATAAAATGGAGAGGACGAGATTAAAGATGGGGGCGTTCACCAGGCAAGCCGAGTCTAATGATAGTCTCTATCAAGTTGCACTACTGAGGGTGCAGAAATGCAACACTTTCCGAAAGTTTATTAGTAACGTTATCAAGTATATATGATGGTTAATGTTATTAGAAAGATCTGTGGTTTACCTACTATGAGTAGTTAAAATGTTTACTGCGAAAAATGCATTTTTGACTAGCCTTTTAATTAGTCCACCAACTTTATGGAAGTGCAACACTAAACTTTTGGAGTGCTTTAGTTGCAACCTCGGATAAAACCATGCAAAAACAGCCCCAGAGCTAAAGTGCAGGGAAGTGTGTGCACATGTGTGTCCACATACTTCTGGACGGATACAGTATGTACCCACACAGCAGCGCCTCTGAATGCGCCTGTGCAAAGAAACAGCACTTGGACAGAGAGGCAAACTGGCCTATTTAGACTCCTGCATGATTACATGCTGCGGGGCTGCCTTGTCTTGACAGTCGGGTTTTGATTTGGATGCACATCACATAAATTATCCACCTAACGTCACTTACATTCAGCTCAGTGTTTAAGAAGCAGCAGCTGTGAGGATATAGTTAGCCACATCCTGAGATCAAGTGCAAACTCGGAGCAGCGCCCAAAGCAGCACTGACTTAGTAACTGTGTGCTCAAGCAGCACAGATAACCCCACATAACATACAGTGTAGTGATGCTTTTAAACCCGACACAGTGCTAGTACATAAAAAAAACAATCACTTTAGCAGCTAGCTAGCGCTGTCAAACTGTGGGCTGTAATGCCAAAGCTAGCTCTCACCTGACAGGTTGCGTTTCTTAGCCTTACTGCCGCCGTTTTTATCGTTAAACCCCAACGTCTCCGTCACTCCGTCCTTCTCCTTGCTCGTCTCTGTTTTGGCAGCCTTCCTATCCCGCTCCCTGTCCTCTTTCTCCTTCTCCTGCTCCTCTCCCAGACCTGACGACAGCGAGTCCGCCATCTTCACCAAACGGTCTCATCTGCTGCCTGGGAGACTGACATCTGCGTCACACCCTCTGACGTCATCACGCACTGCCGTTCCGGGGAATCACCGGCAGGTGTCGCCCGCAGCCACGTGAGCACATTTCACACTATTTTAGTTGATTGATTGAATTATTGATAATTGACTGATTGTTTTTTTCTCCCCTAAAAACAAATTTGTTGACAGCAACAATCTGACATCACATCTGGAATAAAAGGTAGAGGAATTACATATCAGAATAAGATTTAAAATGAATGTAATACTTACTCAACCAAAACACATAAAATGACAAAGAAAATAATAATAATTAAAAATAACAAAATGCAACAGTGATACAGTAGACAAATAGTAATAGCCTTAAATGATCATATAATAAAAGTGTCATGTAGTCTTTATGCACACTGAACCTGATGACACTGTGTATGTGCCAGGGTACACACTGTACACAATGTGCAGTGGTTGGAGGGAACAGCGCTCGATAAGGGCCCCCGGTACACAGCTGGACTAACCTGCCCGGAGAACCTGGGGCAAACAGGAGGTGTGAGCCCCTGCCCTGCTCTGGACACTGTGTACTTCCTTTATTAATAATTTCAAAAGTAACTGAATTGAATACAAATTATTATATACAAGTAGGCCTACAGTGTGAGCTGAAGGCAAGATTTTGACACAGGACCCCCCCCCCCCTCAAGATCCAAGCAAGTTTAGGGTCATCATGTCAGTGGGCATTTTCGTTGGTGGTGAAATTGCAGCGAATCAACTGTCACACAGTGAACCATTTGGGGCTTTTCGTGATCCTTCCTTGGTAGCTTTCATTTCAGTTGCATCTCCAATCAGGTCATTCAAAGATATTAAAAAATAAGTAAGTAGATAAAATAAAATTATGAAGATGCAAAGTAATGAATAGAGAAAATCATGACAATCTATTGGATACATCCTCACAAAAAAATCTCATCTTACACTAGTTCAGTACTACTAGGTGAGCTAGCAGTAGATGCATGCTTCCTTCTGCGTGGCGAAACGGTTGGCAGGTGTAGTTTGGAAAGAAAATAGTTCCTACATGAAACTGCTCACAACAACATCTGTGGACGCATCATGATTTCTAGAAAAAGTCATTGCTGTTGAGTTTTTCAAATTTATTTTTTTGGCTCCTTGAGCACCACTAGCGAGTGCCATCTAGTCCTATTACATCCCATTATAGGTCAGGTCCCATTATACAGTATATTTAGGATTTACTTGACCTTATACTTCATTCTACTTAACTTAGACCTGTTGTCCTTGTTCCTGGACACTTGTTTGTGCTATCTAGTGGTAGTATGACCACAATACACCAATCCATGTAAAGAGAAGATGGCAGCCATCTCTGCCAAGTTAGTCTGCTGCCGATCCCGACACAAAAATGGAAAAGGTCCAAAACCTGATCACATTTTATGGTTCAAACTTGTTTATTTATGATTAATAATGTTTGTAGTTTGATATGACAACAAATTTGACCAATTTTAGCTAGAGTAAGAAGCTAAGACACTGAAAATCAGGAAGTAGGCTACTTGTTTGAAGACATTGGGACTTTACTATCGTCTTGTTTGAAGACACTGGGTCTTAATTACAGTGCCCTCCAAAAGTATTGGAACAGTGAGGCCAATTCCTTTATTTTTGTTGTAGACTGAAAATATTTGGGTTTGACATCAAAAGATGAATATGGGACAAGAGATCAACATTTCAGCTTTTATTTCCAGGTATTTACATCTGGATCTGATACACAACTTAGAAAATAGCACCTTTTGTTTGAACCCACCCATTTTTCATGAGAGCAAAAGTATTGGAACATGTGACTGACAGGTGTGTTTTGTTGCCCAGGTGTCTCCCAATTACATTGATTATTCAAACAATAAATAGCGCTGAATGTCTGAGCTCAGTTTCAGATTGGGTATGATAGGTTTTGCCTGTGCAGACTGCATTTAGAGGTGGAACCAACATGAAAACCAGAGAGCTGTCTATGGGTGAAAAAGAAGCAATTGTGAATCTGAGAGAAGATGGACAATCAATCAGAGCCATTGCACAAACATTGGCCATAGCCAGTAAAACCATTTGGAATGTCCTGAAGAAGAAAGAAACCACTGGTGTAATAAGCAACAGACGTCAAACAGGTAGACCAAGGAAAACATCAGCAGTTGATGACAGAAACATTGTGAGAGCTGTAAAGAAAGACCCTAAAACAACTGTTAGTGACATCAGCAACAACCTCCAGAGGGCAGGAGTGAAGGTATCACAATCTACTGTTCGCAGAAGACTTCATGAACAAAAGTACAGAGGCTACACCAGAAGATGCAAACCACTCATTAGCAAGAAGAATAGGAAGGCCAGGCTGGAATTTGCCAAAAGGTACAGAGATGAGCCTCAAAAATTCTGGGAAAAAGTTTTATGGACTGATGAGACAAAGATTAACTTTTTCCAAAGTGATGGAAAGGCGAAAGTTTGGAGAAAGAAAGGATCTGCTCATGATCCCAAACATACAAGCTCATCTGTGAAACACGGTGGAGGTAATGTCATGGCTTGGGCTTGCATGGCTTCTTCTGGGACGGGCTCTTTCATCTTCATTGATGATGTAACACATGATGGCAGCAGCAAAATGAACTCAGAAGTCTACAGAAACATTTTGTCTGCTAATTTAAAGAAAGATGCAACCAAACTGATTGGGAGATCCTTCATCATGCAGCAAGATAACGACCCAAAACACACTGCCAAAACAACAAAGGAGTTCATCAGGGGCAAGAAGTGGAAGGTTTTAGACTGGCCAAGTCAGTCTCCAGACTTAAACCCAATAGAGCATGCATTTTACCTGCTGAAGAGGAGACTGAAGGGAGTAACCCCCCAAAACAAACAACAACTGAAAGAGGCTGCGGTGAAAGCCTGGAAAAGCATCACAAAAGAAGAATGCAAAAGTTTGGTGATGTCAATGGGTCACAGGCTTGATGCAGTTATTGAAAGCAAAGGATTTGCAACTAAATATTAAGTCTCATTCACTTTAATCTATTTTAAGTTTATATGTTCCAATACTTTTGCTCACCTAAAAATTTTGTGTTCCATTACAAATAATGCTACCTTCTAAGTTGTGTATCAGATCCAGATGTAAATACCTGGAAATAAAAGCTGAAATGTTGATCTCTTGTCTCATATTCATCTTTTGATGTCAAACCCAAATGTTTTCAGTCTACAACAAAAGTAAACGAATTGGACTCACTGTTCCAATACTTTTGGAGGGCACTGTATCATTGACAGTGTGGGTCCTACTGATCCCAAATAGCTAGGAGAAATTAAAAATGCGAGCCAAACAAAAGCCATTTCTACAGCAGATTTCCCTAACAGTCATCAACTGACGACAAAACAATCTTTATTGATAAATAACACTACAGGTAAGAGGAAAAATAAATATTTTTTATTTTGTGGTGAAGTGTCCCTTTAAGTAGGCTATTGCTTGGGTAAATGAACCTAATTACTTCAAACCACTACTATGCATTTGCAGATGAGTGGAGCAAGAAACAAAATGAGAGATGTAGGACTATAACTCTACACAGTCTAAATTCATTGGTCCCTCTCTGACCTGACCTTTAAGCTCTGCGTTACAGTGGGTCATATCTGTCACTGTGACTCCATTAACTCTGCTTACATGATTTTATGGTCACCAGCTGTGATACATTTCCATCTCCAAAGGCCAAGCTGCAAAGGTTAATTCATCCCCTGAATAAAGAGCAGAGTGTGTGTTAGAGACAGGAGCAGGATCCAGGCGCACTGGGCAGGGATAGAGTTTCTCACGGTAACGGATCTCTTTGACCGCCATAGATTCGGTTTCTCCTCCTCTGTCCCTCACACATCAATACTACCTGCAACACTTCACTGAGACAAACAACAATTTACCCGGGAATGATTCATTTTTTTCTTTCTCAGACTTTAGATTAAACTCATGGTGATCGCCGAGTGCGCCTGGGGGTCGCTGCCCGGCGTCGTGTTACCTTCCTCGGGGCACCATGGGCTCGTAAGATGCCTTCGCTGTGGAAACGGATAACGTTCTCGGTGGCCTCGGTGCTCTGTGTCGGCTCGGTGGTGCTCTTGGTCGTGGCCCTGTCCACGGAGCGGTGGGTCACCGGACGGATCCTGTGCAAAACCGGGGCGGAGATAGTGAACGCGTCCCACCCGGAGCTGGAGCAGTTCATCGGGGACATTTACTACGGCTTGTTCCAGGGAGGGAAGACCAAGAAGTGCGGACTGGGCAACAGGCGCTCCAAAATATACAGTAAGATCCAATACACACTTGCTTTTAATTGTCTTTATGATACAGCAAAGTGTTTAATATTAAATAAAGAAGGAAGCCATGATCAAATAAACATAAGCATGTCTTGCAATATGAAAGCAGATCAAAATAATACAGCAAAATGTCTATTTATTATTTAGAGTGTATTGTTTATTTAGATCCATATTACCTGCTGCATCATTAGCAACACCTCTTCCTGTGGTCTACATGAATGTAGACTTTTTATCAGAGAAAATGACACATAAGCCATACCATCTAATATCTATATCAGATAGCTCAACACAGGTATATCACCTCTAGAAGGCCTGATCAATAAAGTAAACTTACACCCCCTAATCAATAACTCAAACATTCAATATTACATCTTTTAAGAGCAAAGGAGATCACAAAACTTCCAAAAATACCCAATATATCAGGCTAAATGTGGGGGAAACAAAATGACATGTAGAATATAAGGCAATACAATACAATATAAAGACAGCATATCATTATCGAGATAAAAGACTATATATAGTCTTCAATTTTGGATATTGTGATATGACATAGATGGTGATTTGCACTACAAAGTGAAGTAAAATGACCAACTTAGCAGACTTTTTGTTTTGTTTTAACGCTTGCCTTAACTCACTTAGTCATTATATCCACATTATTGATGATTAGTAATTAAAAAAATCTCATTATGTTAATATTTCTCTGGAAAAAAACAGACAAACAAACAAAAAACAAGTCATCCCCACAACTCTTTTGCATCAGAGAGGGTGTCCTAGCATTTTTGAGGAGATTTAAAAATATCGAGATATATATTGTATATAGAGATATAGCCAAAAATATCATTATATAATTCTCAGGACGTATCACCCAGCCCTAGTAGAAGATGTCCACTAGAGCAGCACTTAAAAGTCTTTGGTTGGGTATGTAATTATATATAAACATACAGCTCACAGACTATACATGATCCTGTCAGACAGTGGAATAAAACGATTTTTTCCCAACCTTGCAGCTACTTTGGAAAGCTGTATGTTTAGGGGATATCAAGCACAAATACACACCTGTTGCACCTAGTAGGATCTTTTCAATTTATAATAATTCTTATATATTTTCTGTAGCCTGAGTTATAATGTTTTTGGTGCTTTTTTTTTTGCTTGATATAAACTCCATTTAAAAACTAAAACGCTTAGCTTAATCTGAGGTGTGAGGATTGCCTCTTTTTAATACTCAAAGAATAAGAAACAAACATGACAAGACACTTTTCTACTGTCACCACACTGTAAACATGGAGACATAGTTAGTTATTGTTGTTAGGTCATTGATTTAAATATAATACAAATATCAGTCAGTCAATCTCAGTTCCAGTGAAATGATGCCATTAGCGCCTTCAACCTGTGCATTGTATGTTGTCCCTTTTTGCTGTCTTACATTGACGGCTGCTGTTTTATAATGGTCCATGTTGCCACATGGCTCTGGTAATCCTTGGTTTCTGCTTGTAGAATGATTTAACTTAAAGGGACAGTTCACCCCAAAATCAAATATACATATTTTTCCCCTTATCTGTAGTGCTATTTATCAGTCTCGATTGTTTTGATGTGAGTTGCTGAACGTTGGAGATATCAGCGTAGAGATGTCTGCCTTCTCTCCAGTATAATGAAACACTCAGCTTGTGGTGCTTAAAGCATCAATAAATAAGTTTGAAAAACTCAACAGCAATGTCTCTTCACAGAAATCATGACCTGGTTACTCAAGATAATCCACAGACCTTGTTGTGAGCAGTTCATGTTGGAACTATTTCTTTCTACCCAACTATCACTGAGCAGAAGGAACATCTTCACATTAAAACATTAGCTCCAAACAATAGCCTTTGCCAATGGGCAAGTACGCAACATTACTTGTCCTTTATGCATAAATTCTACATGGACCTCATGAGTCTGTGGACATTATCATTCATGTTTTGCATCATGTCTGTCAGTGCTGATCTGTGTTTCTGCCCAGTTTTCCCAAAGCTTGTGCGGAAGATAAATGGCGGGCTCCACATGATGGTTATCCTCTTCCTGCTGGTGGCTGTGGGCTTTGCGTTGGTCAGTCTGTCTTTCTGCATTTACAACGCACGCAAGGTTCCCTACCAGAGCATTAAAGGGCACAAAGGACTCTACCTGTGGAACTTCACAGCTGGTATGTGAGGCAACTTTGTCTTCACTCAAAATCTCCCTCAAATAATTTTCTTTCTCTGGCTTGCTTCATATTACCACCCTCATTTCTTCCACTTGTGCTTCTGTCCACTTTGTAACTCATCCATTAAACACCTCTTTCTGTCTGTTTTTATTCTAACTCTGAAGCCCAGTGATTCTTTTTTGTACTTCAGTGTTTTTTGTCTTTAATTTCCCTTTGTCATGCTGCTGATTCTCCTTCCCTAACTTTTCCTCCAGCTCTCTTCGGAGCCCTGGGCGTGCTGTGTTTCCTGGCAGCCGTGAGGCACCACAGTCTGACCGAGCTGATTGCCAATCATCGGGAGAACCTCTTTGTACTGGTTGTTCTGGACGACAGTCTGGACTGGTCCTTCTGGCTTGGTGTGGGCAGCATTGCAACTCACTTTGCCGTCTGTGGAGTGGTTGCCATGAGCCGGATCAAATTGCCCAAACCGGAGATCAAGAAACCCGAAGAACCCACGATCTCTGCTCTGGACCTGCTCTACTGAAGGACAACACGAGGAGGATTTACATCACTGATGGCTGACTGGAGGGAACCACAATGACTGACAGCAGAGTGAAACCAACACTGTGCCAGTGCCCCTCAGTCTTGACACTGTGTATGAGTGCAAAGAGTGCTGCATCACAAACTTGCCCTTTGCATTCTGGACATCCTGTGCTGCATATATTCTGTTTAAATCTGTAAAATGTAAATACATCTTTTTTTTAATTATATGTATAGAATGTCATTAACTGATCTGTGTTTCAGTCACTTTAAGCCCCTTCATGAAGGACTGAAGTTTTATACAGTATTTATTCTTAATCCCTTATTGAAAGTGTACTACTGTGCATGAATAATGATTTATTTCACAGAGAGCTGTGGGCTTGTGTGCTAAATGTAAAGTATATGATCCTCCATAAACAAAAATATTTGCTGTAATGCCTTGATTTTTATTTACTTTATCTTGATCATAAAAAGGTCCTCACATCTGAGAAATTTAGCTGTTATTGGGGTGAATGAGAACGGTTGGGAAAAGCCATTTTGCATTTATTACATGTGTTAGATCGGTTATAATCTCCTGGATATTAATAAACTTGTGACGAACATTTACAGAAAACATCAATTAAACAATTACTTGGAGTACGTGCTTCTTTTTTGCGTGTGTGTATGTTTTTTAATTATTATTATTATCTTCCAATATTACCCTCTGAGATGTAGAGTATAAAGTAGCAGAAAATGGGAATACTCAAGTAAAGTATGAGTACCTCAAACTCTACTTTAGTATAGTACTATATTCACTTCTCTTCACGTTACTGTTTTGTCACAATAGTTTTACCTGTCGCTCCTCCTACCGCTACCCGCTGCTGCCGCCAGATGGCGACAAATATCCGTCTCTGTCGCTTGTTCGTGACGTATTACAAACGCGACGCTGTCAGGTCGAGCTGCTAGCTTTTCCACATGTAGGCGACCTCTAAATCTCTGAGTTTATAGTTTGCATTGGGATTTATAAATGCACAACAGATGACAATGCTTCTTCTGAGGAGAGCTGCGCAGACGGCGGTGCGGACAAAACACTGCAGGTCATTTTCTGCGTCACAGACTCTCCTGAACGACAGAAAAGTAAGTAGCCGTTATCCGTTAGCCGTTAGCCTGTCACAGCTGTCATACAGTTACATCAGTAACTCACACAGGACTTATACACACAAAACATTGTATACCAGTGGTTTTTAATTGCAAATGCAACACATAATTTTGTCAGAGTTGTGAAGTTGTCAGATATGATAACTCACTACAGAAAAGTAACACAATTGTTCAGTGCCATCTTTGAGATTTTTAGTGAAACTGACATGAGCCATTTTTAATTTATTGTTATTATTTTTTAACTATAACCTTACAACAAACTCAATATTAATAAATAAACTAGGTGAAACACAGCAAGTGTCTACTTAAAGTAACTTTTACTTGGCTTTAGTTAAATCAAACCATGACACTCACCTTGATGACTTCATAGGGGTCAAGGGTCAACGCTCAAAAAAGTTCACTAAAGCGTTGTAATCAATAAATAACACAGACAACTATTTCACCATTAAGTAAAGTGGGACACACACAAACTTTAATGCTGATTGCCAATTAGGTGGCCATAATAACACACAAGAAAGGAGGGGTTGCAAGCAAGCATGATTTTGCTTGTAAGGACCGGAGCTCCTGATACGTTGATTGACAGCGAGAAAGACTGGACGATATTGAGAACTGGTGTCCTAACTGTGTTTGTGTGTGTCTGCAGGGTCTGGTGCTGGGAGTGTTTGAGAAGGAGGGAGAGGAGGGAGGCATTCATCTGACAGATGCAGCTGCGTCTTTTGACCAAACTCTGTCTGGGAAACTCTCTGAACTGCTGAAAATGTGAGTCTGTGATATTTGTGAGCTGTCAGAATATGTCTTTTTGGGTGATGATAATAATATACAATCAATTTATTAGGTTCTCCTAGCAAAAAGTAATGTAGTCTAATACAGCAGTCTTGCATAACGCCTCACTTCATGAATGATAGAAAGTTAAGATTTTGTGTAAGCTGTTTTAGAGAGCTGTTGATTCAGCGTTATGATCATTGTGGAGGCTTTGTAAAATACAAGATATTGGGAAAATGGATATAACACAGCACAATTAAAAAGCACCACTAACGACAACCTCCAGCATTTGAACCACTGCCTCTCTGAAACATGGTGTTTGAGAGTTCATTCAAGGAGATTGTTTTGACAAAATCAGCTCCTCTCAAGGTTCAATTGCTTTCTTCTTTTCTTTTTTTTTTTTGAGCAGACTAAATTTGTTCAGTTTTCATTAAGCTGTAGATGTTTTCAAACTTCCTTTTGAAAAGTTTAAACAAAATAAAAACTGAACTTTGTAACCTTCATGAAGGTGTGATTGTTGTTTTATTAGACTGTGTTAATTTTGGTGAGTTATCAGCTAATTGCTGTGAGGCAGTCCTGCTCGCTGATAACAGTATCCAGAAATTGTATAGCAAAATCTATTCCAGTCATGGCTATATACACAATCTGTTACACCAGTAATTAAATCTCTGTCATCACTGTATATATTGTTATACCACATTACCCAAGTGTGTATGGCTTTTTGTAGAATGTTTGTGGCGTTTTCCCTCTCTTTCTTACTTTTATACAAAAGTCAAATTAACAGAAAAAAATCAATATGGCTGTTTGTTTTCTTTTCTTTTTCCCTCTTTTCACTAATTAGTGCATACAAATGCAGATAAAATGACCATACTAACTTATAAAAAGGTTACAATAGATGTTATTGATTTACTAAACATAAAAGGACAAACATAAGTAACTGGGGAAAGCTACATTTGGAAAAAAAAAGTACATGAATTAAAAATAAAGAAGGAGAAAAGGAGGGCAAAAAGAAAAGCAAGAGGGAGAGAAGGAACATAAAAGTAAATTAATCAACAGAACATAATTGCACCAGCATTTGTAAAAGATTCTGCTTCAAAAAAAGTATTTATCAGCAATATGTTGGGTATTCATTTACTGATACTGCTCTAATTACACTGATTGGGTATTAGACGGTTTGGAGATCTACATTTATTGAAGTTTCTAAGACACTGTTATTAACTGGTATTATAAAATTGCAATAACACACTTTTACAAACCGTCCAGGGCAAAATATGATTAAAACTTTACAGGTTTACAAAGAATCACTATGAATAAATACCTAAAATTTAAATCCATCAATGAGGTTTTCAGATTAAACCTCACTGATAAATTGTCAAAGAAATAAAAAGAACAGTGGTAGCAGATCTGTACTTGGTATTTTGATTTGTCTCAGGAGAGAAAAAATGTGATTGGAGCATCCTTAATATTCAGCTGTGAAAAAACTTCACAGTACAGTGGCATTCCTAATGGATCTCACACCAACTCTGTGTGTCTGACTAACTTGTTTGTTTTGTTTTGTTCTCTCCAGCTCTGGACCGACTCTCAAGAAAGGCAAAAGCAGAATATTTTATGGAATCCACAAGGTAACAAAGTTTGACATCAAATTAAGACAAACCTGGTCTCATGATAACACCAGAGTAATCAAATGTTTCCTGTGTCTTCTTCAGGACTTCCCGTGTGTGGCAGTGGTCGGGCTGGGTAAGACCAGTGCAGCTGTGTGTGGGTCAGAGAACTGGGACACCAGCAAAGAGAACATCAGAGCGGCAGTGTCAGGTGAGACACGACACTCTGCTCGTCTCAGTGCTGGTTACATACTGGCTGCGCACCTGACTGATATCTGTGTGTATGTGTGTGTGTGCGTGCTCAGCTGGATGTCGGTTACTTCAGGACCTGGAGGTGAAGCATGTGGAGGTGGACGGCTGCGGTGATGCCCAGTCGGCAGCAGAAGGCGCCGCTCTGGGTTTGTTTCAATATGACCAGCTCAAATCAAAGAAGAAGACCAAAGTATCCACACAGCTTCATGGAAGGTAGACTGACGAATGGGCTGTAGCACAACACTAGGGCATCTGATTCATCATGCTAATGTATGTGTATATGTCTGTGTGTGTATGTATTCTCAGTAGTGACTCGGCCAGTTGGCAGAAAGGAGTCACGTACGCAGAAGGTCAAAACCTGGCACGGCTACTCATGGAGGCTCCGGCCAATCACATCACTCCTACTGCTTTCGCCAACACCATTGAAGAGAAATTAGTGCGACACGGCGAACACGTAACAATCACCAAGAGGTTTGTGCATCATTCATCGTTGCTTTAGTGTCCCCAGTGTGACAGTACTCAGAAATAAAAACAACAACAAAGAATGCAACAAAGACATGAAATACAGTAGTTTAATTTGTAGCACTATTAAAGGACGTTTTAGATGTGTGTACTGTATAATCAAGAAGTTTTCAAGGCATTATGGGACATAGAATAATCCAACTGCTTCTTATCGTGTCACCAGATGTTAAACTACATTTGTCTATATGTTGTGGGAAAACTTTTTTGGCAAATGATTAAATTGTGGCTTGAATATATATTCTGTGATACAATCATGAAATATTTTGGCATCTACTTTATAGTATTCTGAGAGCTTTGAGCATTTACTGGGCTGGAAACTGTCAATCTAGATGTGAAACAACTAGCAGATTGATTGATTACTCAAAGGATGGAAATTTATATTATTAATTTTATTTATTTAAAATTTTTTTCATTGATTTTTTTCGTTTAAGTGATTTTTTTTTTAAGCTACAGTAGCAAATATCCCCTAGTTCCAGCTTCTCAGTTGTGAGGATTAGCTGCTCTCTCTGCCTTGTGTAACAGTAATTTGAATGTCTTTGTGGTTGTGGATGTTTGGTTGGATAAAACAAGCAATTTTAAGATGTTACCTTGGGATTTATAAGTATTTTAGAATAATTTCCTTAGATTGTATAGACCAAAAAGTTGTAAACTAAAAAACAAATGCAACTAGAAAAGCACTCAGAGAGCGCAGACCTCCGCCAAGGGCAATAGTCAGGTATTCTTTGATATGTGACTCTACAACCGCAACCACTAATATGTCTGGATATATTTCCAAAACTATTAGAACGAGTTTTCCATAACGACTGCTTTCTGTATGAAGTTTGAAATGCATATTTAGGCTACCCTAGAGAATTACTGGAATGTGGATTGTGATATGGAGTCATTGTATTTCTGCTGTTGGCTGTTAACTACGATCCATACAGGATTTTAAGATGTATGACATTTATTCTGCCAAGGCCAAATGCCCTATCTTGCAATGTTAAAGGTCCAGTGTGCGTAGATCAGGCCCAAAAAATCCAGCCCGACCCCACCCGAGCCCGTGCATGTTCTGTCCAAGCCCGTCCCGTCCTGTCCCTTTAACTGTAATTATGAGCCCGAGCCCGGTTTAGTTTAGTTTAGTTTAGTTTATTTGTTTAGCACAAGTTTAGTACAAGTACAAAAGCTGAAATTATACAATTTAAACCCAGGAAAGACGCAGCAAAAGCAAGCCACCCACAATCAGAAGGATTGATAAAATCATGTTAGAGAAGGATGAGCACAGGGATCAGGCAGGTAATAGAAGTTTCTTCAAATACTTTTTGAAAGCAGAAGGGGAGGACATTGATCGCAGTGATGAGCTTAACTCACTCCAGAGCTTAGGACCTCTAAAAGTAATGTTAAATTGGTGTCTTGAAGTCCGTGTGCAAGGTAAGGTAAACCCGACATTTTTTTTTCAAGGATACGAACGTGAACACTGAAGGCAACTCTTGTCTTTCTTTCCATGGCAAGCCTTCGTCATGTGCCTCTTAAGTGTCGAGGTCCCCGTCTTCTTGCTGTCATATACCAGCATCGTGCTGCACTTGGTACACTCGGCCCCATCCCCCAGGTGTGACAAGTAGTTGGTTCCATAGCCTAGGTCTATTATGAGGAGCCTGACCTGTCCGAGCCCAAGGATAGTGGCAGGAAATTATGGCCGGGGTGGGTCCGGTTCAGGTTCGGGCTCCGGCAGAGAATCTAAGCTCTAATACATTGGCAGAAATGGAATGTGATATTCATAACTATGTTTTTCATTAGTTTATAATCACCTGAAAATAAGAATATTTGTGTTTGTTTGACCTTACAATGAGTCATTTATATCAACATATGAAGGGGGTCCTCTTCCAAATAGTCTTCATGCTATTCTACAGTAGCCCAAAACCAAACGCTGGCTCCAGATAGGGCCATTTATGTTTTTGCATTGGCCACGTATTTCTCCTTTGCTTGGTTTCAGTCGGTTGCAGTCTGCAACCTCACCACTAGATACCACTAACTCCTACACACTAGACATTTAATGAATGGGAAAATATTTAGTGTATCAAATCGTGATTCGGATCCACTCCAGAATTTAATGGGTTCTTCTTTGGCCCAAGGAACCAAACAGACCAAACCAAAAACAAAACCTCCCTGGCAGAGGTAATAATAAATATGAACATCTCCTGTTAACAGCTAAATCAAAATATTCTGTCATTATTAAGATAAGGTCTGATTATTGATTGTCTTTTGTACCCTGGAGAGCAGGTGAAGGAAATCAGTGTACTTGTCTAATTACACATGTTCTCCTATAGATCCCAGGCTTGGATAGAGGAGCAACAGATGGGAGCATTCCTCAGTGTGTCTAAAGGCTCAGAGGAGCCCCCTGTCTTCCTGGAGCTACATTACAATGGTTCTCCTGACAGCAAGCAGGCCCCGCTGCTCTTAGTGGGCAAGGGCATCACTTTTGACAGGTACACCATAATAATACACATTCGAGCTCATTACTTCATCTTAAAAAAACATCACAATGCTCACATTAAAGTTGTTTTGTGTCCCCCTCATCTGTTTGTCGGTAGTGGTGGTATTTCTCTGAAGCCGTCTCCCTCTATGGATGCAATGAGAGCTGATATGGGAGGAGCTGCCACTGTGTGTGCGTCTATCGTCACAGCAGCAGCTCTGAAACTGCCGGTTAACATTATTGGTGAGCTTTTTGATAATATGGATCCATGGATCACTGCAATCCTCTTATTTTTATATATA